ATATATATATATATATCTTCATCCTTATTAAAAGTAATTAAAATTCTAATTTCCTAACCTACTTATCACTTAAGTTTTTAGAATGATGATGTACCAAGAACGTTATCAAAGCAACCCTGCTTCTGTATTACAATAAAATTTTATAATTCAAATATCCACAATGATCAAGTTAAACTCTGCATTAGGGCTGAAATTGAAAAGTATGAAAAGAAGGCTTTTTTTAAAAATTGTAATCATCCTTCAACAATTGCTAAAAATATAACAATAGGATAACAATAGGAAGCTGTGTAAAGCTTCAATTAAGTTAAGCATTTTAATTAAAGGTTGAACTCCTTAACGAAAATGAGTAAAGAGTGCTCAATTAAATATCACGAGAATGATATGAATGAACACAACAATTTGTGATCTTAATTATTCACATTACCCAAAAGTCATAGTGACAATAACAGCAACATCTTTTTGAATGCATCCACTACCCAAGTAGAAAATACAAAGCCTTCATTCTCAAAATCACAACTAAAGCAAAGGATGTCTAATCCCTTACTTTTTAAGTATTTTAAACTGGGGCTGGGGATTTAGCTCAGCGGCACAGCACCTGCCTGGCAAGTGCAAGGTTGCAAGTTCGATTCCCGGTACTGGGAAAAAAAAAAAATTTAAGCTAATATTTTTATTTTAAACTAATACGTTTTTAATAGTTTATTTCTAACTCTAAAACTTTTTTGGATGTATCAGTATTTTAGAAGCATCAGTATTTTTTCAGGGTGCTTAGGCAACAGCAAGATGCTAACGTTCCATTTAAAGAACAGCCTTGGGGCCAGGGCTATAGCTTAGCAGCACAGCACTTGCCTGGCAAGGGTGAGGTCGTGAGTCAATTCCCGGTGCCAAAATAAAATAAAACAATAAAGAGTAGCCTTACAATCAAAATTGCTCTGCCACAAATGTTAACCATAAGTGCAATTTAAAGTAGAACCCCCTCCAAAATATATGCTAACAATATTTGCTTGTAGCACCTCTACTAGGTTCTCAAAACATAGTCCCTTAATTTTATTACTCAAACTTCCTAGTACCAACTACTAGGTGAAAGAGAAGTGTATTCTCACTGTATATACATTTGTATATTTTCTTGACAGATCTAACACAGTATTTACAGTCATTTAATTATCAAAAAAACCTGAAGCTCCAACTTACAGGGTAATTAAAATCAGATGTAACAAAAAGATTCTAGCTTATGATTAATACATGCAGCTATCTCCAGATGTGACCACTAATGGACTAATCCTCAAATGTATTTACCTTCAACTTATAATTGCGAACTACATTTACGTATATGTATATAAACACATCCACATTTAGTGAACTCTAAACTCACTAGCATATGTGTAACAATGAAACTATTCAAAATACTTTAAATTACTTTTTCTCACATAATCTGTACACACATATAATTTAGCATGTTAAGCTAAGATGCTATACTTCACATACTACGTTATAAAGTATTTACATACCTAACATACTTCAGTCTACTACTCACATAGCTTCTTCAGATAGTAAGTTCAAGTAAACAGCCAAAGAAAACTATGACATGAACATTTTAAAATTTGTTCTCACTGGGCGTGGTGGCGCACGCCTATAATCCCAGCACCTGGGAGGCTGAGGCAGGAGAATCATCTCGAGTTCAAGACCAGCCTGAGCTACAAAGTTAGCTCAAAGCCAGCCTGACCCTGCCTCAAAAGGACAAAAAAAAAATTTTGTTCTCAAATCAAAGTAGTGCAGAGCAAACCATAATCATTTCCATAAATAATTAAGTAAATAAGGTTCAAATTAGATTTAAACAGGGAAAAGGAGAAAGAAAAAGAATGCAAGATATGTACGCTCTTACCTTACACCAGAGTAAATTCTACACGTATCAAAGATTTACATGTAACAAAATAAAACAAGCAAACAAAAAGCCCTGGAAGAAATTTAGGAGATTTTTTGTTGAATATTGCCAAGTAAAAGGCCAGGATATAACATATATCTAAAAGCAACAAGATACAGGTAATAAATTTAACTGCATAAAAACAGCATTTTTGCAAAGCAAATATCAACGGTAAAAAGTCATGGCAAATAATCAGTGAAGAATGCGTCCTAGTTTTTCCTATTAAAAGGGCCATCTGATACAAAGCACACACTAGCACGTAAGAAAAAATAATACAATAGAAAAATAGGATAAACTGTTCCTAGAAAAGATGCAAAACACTTGTAAAAATATGAAAATGTGCTCAACTTCACTCATAATAAGGGGCACACAAATCTATAGTATTATGAGATACTGTATTTCACCTATCAGGCTAGCAAAGTTCAAAAAATTTTAAGACTTTTCATAAAAGCTGAAAAAATGTTTACTCACACCTATGCCTATTACATTAAGGATATTTGACAAGATCTTTCCAAATTACAAATGCATGTATCCTTTAACCCAGGAATTCCACTTTTAAGGATGGATCAGATATATCCATGCACACACACACCTCAAGTATATGTAAGTATACTCATTACAGCACTGTATATTAATCGAAAGATTTGAATGGGGAAGCTCTAAATGGGTCTAATGTACAGTTTTTAAAAAACAGTACATGAAACAGCAAATAGTGTTTCCATTTCTATAACTGGCAAAGTTTTATATTCATCTTTGGTTGTATGTATGCTAAGCTTTCTTTGGAGGTATAAGCAGACATGGCTAATAACACTGGCCTCCAAAGAGGACACAAAGGGAGGCTGAAGATATTAAACCATGTGTTATATACTTCAAAACATTTACTGGCAAAAAGAAAAACTGTGTAAGGCATGTCTGCACACAACTGTAATCTCAGTACTCTGGGAGGCTGAGGCAGGAGGACACAAGTTTCAGGCCAGCCTGGGCAATGTAGTAATTTAGAAACCATGTCTCCAAAAAACAAACAAAAAGAGGCCGGGCATGGTGGTGCATGCCTGTAATCCCAGCACTTGGGAGGCTGAGCAGGAGGATCGCTGCAAGTTTGAAGTCAGCCTAGGCTATATAGTGAGTTCAAGACCAGTCTGAACTACATGGGAGACCCTGTCTCAAAAAAACAAAAACAACAACAAAAATTAAATAATTTAATTTTAAAAAGAAAAGAAAAAAAACAGAAAATGCTGGAGAATTAGCTCAGTGCAAAACTCCTGGGTTCAATCCCCAGAATCGCAAAAAAAGAGCCAGACCCAATCCTAAATATACACACATATATAGCCAAATCAAGGATTATGGTGTATACACATTGAAAAGCAGAAGGAATCTAATTCTCCTGCACATCATTTCATTCTACCAATACTTAGTTTGGCTTGATTAGTATCAGTCATTTACTTTCATTTAAAAACCTTACAAAACATACTCTAAAATAGTACTTAAAAACAGATATTGGCCTTTTCTAAGCAAATAGGTTCTATTTTTATGCCATGTATTTCATTTTGACCCAATTATTTTAAGGAAACTAATGGAAAGTTTAATTTAGTGAGTGCTTAGAGACAGGTGTACTTCATGCTCCAAATCTACAGAATACAAATCCACACTCTGATAATACCAAAAACAACTCAATATTCTCCTGCATTTCTAGAAAACAGTACAAAATAAAGATACATCAATCCCCAGGTGTGATGTAAATCCTTCGTGCAAACCACACAATCTGAGAAAACATAGCTAATAAATCTAGAAAAGTGTGCTCTCTATAAAGCTGAAAACAAAACCTGCATTACAAAGAACTTAAATCTTCAACTATGGTGACCTCCACTATCAGTACTACATATTTCTGTCAATTGTTTTTAAAAAGTAAACAAGGAATCTCTTCTGTCAGCTTATAAAACACCTTCATGCTTTATTAAACATCAAGTTTAATACCATATGAATACATTCTTTTCTCTTTTTTGAAATGGGATTTTTTTTTTTTTTTTTTTTTTTTTTTTTTAGATAGTCTTGCTATGTAGTTCAGGCTGGCCTCGAACTCGCAGAGATTCCCCTGCCTCAGCCTCCAGACAAAATGGGAATTTAAAAGTCTAATTCCCTCATTATCTCTTCTATGTCCAAGTAAAATAATCTTAGAAATAGGTGGAGAAGAAAGGCCAAAATCTGAATTAACTCAAAAGCAAATGTAAGGAGAGGAAGGGTTGAAGGGAGGGAAGGGAAATGGGGGAACAAAAGACGAATCCAGATATATTATGTACCGGTACAAATTCCCTATGATGAATGTGTTCATTACGTATGTCAAAAGCGTGCCAACAAAGTTAATTTTTTAAAAAGCAGTGTAGACTAATTCCTATCCTCATAAAAAGCACATCATCCTTTTTTTCTAAAATGTCTGTAAAATTAGAGGTCTATCTTAATTACCACCAGCAGGCAACTGGGCCGTTTGAGCAAGTCGTCCCCTCTGTGTCTGCCTCCTCTAGACTTTCTAAACGCGACTTACTTTAGTAACACAGAATTTTGAGACTACTGCCCTTCTTCTAACCTGCCGAATTATCGAAACCCCAACACCTGCAGTCAGGCTGTTTCCCAGGACTTCTGTTCTCCTGCCCGCCCCGGCGAGGCCCCGCACGGCGAGGCGGCTGCGCCCAGCGGGACG